CAATGATGTGCCCTGGTTTAAGTAGCGCTCGAGTGCATCTTGCCTTGCAAAGACGAATGCTACTGATTCTTTTTTTCGAAAACAGATCCATGGGGCAAAACAACCGTGTGCTCTCAAGAGAGTCAACTGAGACTCTATCCAAGAATCAAATGAAATTGTCCTACGAGGCTGCAGGTAACAGAATACATGCTTGTAATTCATCGCACAAATTGTTGTTTTGCAGTGTGAAAAGAACAAAGTGCACAATGATCACGCGTCTGTGGACCGCTTTGACTCGCCCTTTCGAGTGACGAAAGCGATGCATTCTAGGCGAGTGCGGACCTGGACGCCGAATGCATGGGAGCATTTCGTGGATCACTTGATCGCGAAAACTGTCTTCAAACAACTGGACGAGTAGTCCATACTACGCACAAATGTTCACCTGTCTTTCCATTGACTGGGGTGAATGCGGAAATAATGAATTGACCCAGAAATATACCGAAACGGTTTCCCATCTAGCAAGAACCGATCATGCTCATAATCAACAGCAAATGAGCTTCCACCTCTGAAAACAGGGCAATCCAGCTGTTAACAGCAGACATCTCCAGCATTACCTTACCTGACGTCCTTTGCCCTAGACCAAGCTGAAGACGTCCCGCAATATATAACTAGTAATCCACAAGTTATTGAAATAAGGTGGTTTGTCATCTGAAGATTTTACAGCCAGGATTTTTGCGGACGAGGAATCGATTTCGAGATGGGTTGTTGTATGCTGCGACTGGTCTGTCTGAGAGGTGGAGCATTCCACTTGCTAGCGTTATCAATCCTCATCTATCATTGCGGTCATCGGTCTCGCAATAACCCAGCCCGACCCTTTCTACTTTTATCAGCCAAACAACTTCTCTGACCACGACAACACTTCATTGATGAGATGACACTACATAGCTAGACAACATCAAAGCATAATAAATAAAACAAATACTTCACAATTACATTATCTTCGCATGCGAACAAATGAGAACAACAACTTGACCACTTCAAAACAATAGGAATGCCTAGATCATGGCGATAACCCTTTAACATTTATGCAATCATTCTACTTTTGCTGGTGGAGCAGGAACAGTTGATTGCGTATTCACCACACCCCTTTCTCTTTCATCTTCTTCTTGAGCCTGTCTCACCATTTCCATAATGGACACATGCAAAATTTCCAGACGTTTGCGGCTTGCAATTGACTTCAACTTTTTGTAGAGCAGTTTTGCTGAAAACAATATAAAACAAGTTCTATAAAAACAAGAGCAAAATGCAAAAACTTACCGAACAGCTCATTCTCATCGCTATCCTCGTCATTGAATTTGATTCTCTTCGCATCCTTAGGGATAGCAGCAGCAGCATGTGGAGCTGGTGGTATTATGAATGGCGGAGGTGGAATTCCTGGCATCTGCAATGCAGAACCTCAACACCTTCGAATAAAATTTTTTAAAGGATATTGTCGCTACGACACGTGAGAATAGCAGAGTAAGAGATTTCGAGAATATTCAAAGCTTTAAAAGAGAGTATAAGTACACCACACAGTTCCGCGACGACGGGGGGGGGGCATTTAATCACTTGCTGCTCCACTAGTTGCTGTTGGCTAGCCTCACATCCTGATGAAATCTGCGAACTCTTGTGAAGCTGGGCCAAGCTTGCCAAGTCACCATGGTGAATGGTATTTGTGTGGCATTTCATGGCTTTACAAGGGATGTATGTCGCTTGGCGCCATCTTTTTGCCCAGCCGGACTGTATCTAAGAACACGAGTCCGGTCTTCAGGGAAGTCCAACTGCTTTCCATAGTGCTCATAACATCAGACGAATTCTCTTGCAGTATGTGATCGTTCGAAGGAACAGCTCTATGCAGAAAGAAGTGAATCAGCTAGAGACCATGAACGCAAGCTTCAGTGTTGCTTATTAGTAGGGCTGTGCAGCATGCCGAAAGTACCCTTAATAATGATCTGGGAAGAGATACGTGCCAGATCTTGGTAGGAATGCCTTTCATTATATGCTGTTCATTGGGCAATAAGATCTGCACCACACGCACCGCGCTAACCTCTTGTAGCGAGAGTTGACAGTACCTTGCAAGAGTTGACGAAGTTCTTGACTACTGATCATTCGTGGCTAACGAGCATGCACAAATCTCCTTCGCTCTGTTGTTAGCCACCGCGCTGCATGGAGTAGCCAAAGTGCAAAGAAACTCCCCCCCCGCCCACCACCTGACTAAGCCAATATAATACTGCCAGATCGGGAGAGTAGGAGAATAGGAAAATGAGCCCCAGAAGAGAGCTGAAAATTAATCAAGTCCAATTCTCCTGCTCTGCGGTTCCCTCAATTCGCCAGACCGGAACGGATCGATTCTCATCTATTCCTCTGATGCGTATTCTCATACTCCCCATGTTGCAAAGTATGACTGCGGTCTAAAAGAAGACTCATGGCTACTACAAAAGCGAATAAAACGGGGAAAGGGCGATCCTACCGTGGGTTGGTGAGGTCATGTGGCGCGCAGCGATTCCCACGCGCGGCAACTACAGAGTTGCACTACCATGTGCCGGTGTAGGAGCAAGCGATTTGTGTTACGTCACCGCGTTCTCGACCAACATTCCTTTGGCAGAACCACCTTTTGATAAACTGAGCAAGCTACGACAACACAACTCGTACGCAATGGCTGCCGTCGTCAGCCACGCCCCCTAGCGCGGTGAGGCCCCTCGACTGGATCGACATATACCCGAACAAAGCCTGACGACACATCTTTCCAAAACTGGTTTTTGATGATTTTCGTATCAAACCATTACTTCAAAGGTAAAAACTGCTAATCAACTATATTTAGGCTATACGGTCAGATCATAACGACACCGCAAAACTATTTAGCAGAACTGATACCTTGAGAACCCAAGATGAACAAGAATTAATGCTATTTCACTATATGAACCATCATCCTTGTAACACAACAAAATAAGATCTAAGCGCACAACACATAAAGATCAACAAAAGAATAAAACTAACCCCTGGTGGCGCGGGCATGAACGGGGGAACTGGTGGACCTTGCTCAGCGGCTCTTTTGGCTCCAGGGAAGAATTTTTCTGAATAGCGTAATTTACGATGTATACTGATAATGACGTTTCTTCCAATTATACTGCATGCTAACGACGGGCTGCTGGTGGTCGATAAGTCTCACGAAAGGCGAGTAGAACTCCCCACATAGTGCCGTTTTCAATTTGAGGGATGAATGTCAAGGCTATTCAAAACAAAATAAAGTAAAGAACAACTACTAGCTCCCTCAAAACTATGACCCCCACCTTCAAACGACCATTTTTCAACTACACTGGGTTATCACAAAGCCCAACGCTAAGGGGAAATAAAAGGTACTGGATAAGGTTCTGCCGCAAAAAGCAAGCGGCCATGAAGGCCAAAGTGTTCACCACATTCATGGGAACAACATGTACGAATAAAATTGGATCTGCTTAAAGGCAAGTGGCACGATCAAATCCCCAAGGCACGTAGGAATAGTTTGCCTAGCAGAGCATAATACGGCGCCCCTCAGCACATGCAAGTGCTTTTCCTGACTTGGACTAAGTTCTATAGCGCCCTGTGAAAGCTGCCAAATGTCCGGACCCGGACGTCACGCACCCCACCTCACAAGATGTTCGACTGTATCTTGAGCGCTCATATCGTTTCATATGCTAAGTACAATACATGATAGCGATACTGATTCATTTTTGAGCGCGCTCGGTGCGGTGTTGCACGGAATGAGTACATGCGCTGCACGTTATGTACTGACGAAAATCGCCCGAAATCCGCTTCGAATCGTCGTATATCGAAAAACTTTTTTTTGCAAGGTTTTTGCGCCTCAATTCGCTTTTTTTGCCATTTTATATCTTACTTATGGCTCCCAGCCTTGCAGACCGATTACCAAAGTATGTGCGTATGCCTTGATAGCTATATATCAGTCACAAAAAAGCATAAATAAGAAAAAAAAATGAAATAAAAAAACTTATTCATTTCAGGAATAGACTGTAAAATTGACGACTTATATCATTGCCTGGTTTTTCTCTTTGTCGGTAATCAGCTCTTATAATATAAAACGGATAAGCAAGACCTAATAATTAACAAATAAATAAGAATAGAAATGAGTAGAGCAAAACAAAGGTGTGGCTTCCACCACAGAAAGAGTTCACACAAAATTAGTCAGTGGCCATTGGCCACAAAATAAGTAGCTTAACTACGAAAATAGTAAAACTAAAAACACCAACCATTCGCTGTCTTACTTGTTCGTGCCGTGCAAAAATCGTTCTTCTGCGGAGCGAAGAACACTGTTGTGGCGTTGAGGCGGATATCGGTGAGTTCATTGGAGAGAGCATTGGAGGTCCCCCATTATAGTAGGTAGGAGGAGCGGAATGCTAAAAATACGTTATAGACAAATGTCGCTTATTTTCTATCCAGAGTGCGGTCAGGAGATCCAAGTTGCGATGGCTTGACTAGACGCGAGCCGCTGAAAGTAATCCGTGTGCACGAATAGCTCATTGACTACACGATTTCAAAAGAAATGACGGGGATGCATATAAGAATGTATATTTATCCGAGTTTAAAAAAGCACGACTGGGAGAAATGCCGAAATGACGGGCAAAGACTTGATAGGGACCGATCGGTTAGGCCTGCGAAAGAAATGACGATTTTGCGGAACTCCGGCATTTCTGCAGAACCCGTTTTTCTGCGTTTCTCCCGATTCCGCTGTTCTCCAAATCGATACGTTTTTTTCTATCCGTTGTTTCGTCATTTCTTCAAAGCAGTCACGTGTAAACGCGGCCACGGTTTGGAAAAACTTATTTGGATTGATTTTATTCGACTTATTTTTAATCACCAGGCGCACGTTTGGTCGCAGGGGCAAATGCCGTGGTTTCCACGTTTGTAGACTGATTTTTCGCCCCTTTACTACCCCGGTGAAATCACACGTGCACAAACAAGCTCACTCCTACAATGGTGCGATCTTGGAAGCTGAAGCTCTTCTATCACAGGCCTTCATCGGAATGACGAAATTAACGTGGTAGATCTCGAAATCCGAAACAAGGCAAACAGGAAAATACTGGCTGATCTATGTTTTTACAAGTTAGGTAGCGCCGTCCCAGTTTACGCACGTCACCACAGATCGGACCTCCTGACCTACACCCTCCTATTTAGCCTGTGATAGCCCCCACCACTGCACTAACGTCGTGAACTTTTCCACCGTTTCTCTGACCAGAAGGTTGTTCCTAAAACAAAGTTGTAGTTTTTCAAACTACTGCCCAGGGTATGGAGAGATCGCAGACGTTATTAGAGAGACATAGATCTAATCTACCATACATTTACAAACAAACAAGAACACACGATGGATGCACAACTGAATTGTAGTAATGATATGCTCACCTGTGTGATAGGCGTGGGCAATGGTGCATCTTGCGTGGCCACAGCTGCTCCGCTTTCAGCGTCCGTCATGAGTCTAACAAAATTATTGCAACACAGGAACCGAGAAGAAAGCATAACAAATCAAGAAGGTCAAGAGGTATAGCACTGATTAGACACACATTCTAGACAATGCACTTTGCTGTAAACACAAGTTTATTAAGATGAGACAACATCAAACAAAATTGAGACCGTCCGTAATACTCCAGAAACACTATACTAATTCTTCAACGTATACCAGCAAGAACGAGTAAGTTGAACTAACACCTTCGTTAAGGAGGAATAAGCTTTGCGATATCACCAAAACATAAAAACTATCAAAACGTGAAACTATTATGAACCAAAACAAGAAAGTGAGGGCATATGGTACACTTCAAACAACTGGTGCAGCATTCAGAATGTCTCTGGGTGGAGGTACAGGCCCTTGGTTTGGGACTACTTGATACCACCCGCTGATTATAGACCGTTCATAGACCATTGCTCTTGCCATCCGACTGACGTCGTAAACTTAGCTCCTATTATTCAATATAAAGAAGCATAATTTTCAATTATAAGTTCAGGAAACCGTTTTTTTCTCCGAGAATTCCCTGGTCTATAACGCTTGTGGTGCTAGTCCCACGCTGCAATCCCAATTCGTGGGCTGTGAAAGGTTCCACAATTTGGGCTACGAGCGTGGCAGTAAGTTCCACTGGAGTTCTCTTCTAATCCACGACTATTAATAAAAGTACTTCAAAGTGGTAATTGAACCGGCATACGGTATACCCGATTGTGTGCGTTCACTGCGCGACATTCAATTTCACGAGCAGTGGGTATAAATACACCCTGACTTCGTGACCCTATAAACTTGTAAAGAAGTAAATGAGGAAAGCGCAGCTCCCTACCGTTGGACGATTCAGCTTGCCGGGCAAGAGCTTCATGGATCAAGTTCATTATACGATTCTGCAGATGGTCAATAACAAAACTGTCCTTGAGACCTTCCATTTTCTTCCAAACCATCTTCCCTTAAACATTCAATATTACTTCACAGAAAATGACACCAAAAGTCACGAAGAATTCCAGCGTACAGGAAAACTGGTATGGGCCTGTGCACAAGCGTGGACAGTTCTGTAGAAGAAGAGTTTGCAGCTTACTGAGGCGAACACTGAGAGTAAAGCTACAGCCATACCTTGCGTCAGCGTCCACCACCAGCGTTTTGAGCGCACCCCAGCGACTAGGAAGGCATAGATATCGATCTAGCGAACGCCAGCGTCTACCAGCGTCCAGCGAATAAAATCGTTTTCGCGGGCACTTTTGAACTAAAATGCCCGCCAAAACGGTGCTGTACGCTGGCGTACGCTAGATCTATATCCATGCTTTCCTAGTTGCTGGTGGGCGCTGGCGGACGCTGTTAGACGCTGACGTTCGCTAGAACGATATATGTACGCTCGAAACGCTGGTGTATGTTGGTGATCGCTGCTGGACGCTGATGCAAAGCATGAACGCAGCTTAAAAGAGACTTTTTCAGGGGTCCTACTAAAAATAGCAGTATATCGTAAGAATTCATGGCAGAATACTTGACTCCAGCATGTTCGCCAATAAGAACCTCAAGCTTACTGGACTGGTATAGCAACCAAGGCCGCCTACACCTTATTATCATCAGTTGGGAAGCACAAAAATTATCTGGCGGATACCCCATAGGATATGCAGAATTCGCGAGCGGCCGCCGAAATGGCATTGAAAGCTTGCGATAGAGATGCACTCAGGCGAGAAGTGATAAAGATCGACAAGGGCAAAATGACGCAATAAGCTCACACTATAAGGCTCGCTTTGAAAACTCGCAGCGTGAGGATTTTTATGCCAAAGCTTTGCAACTTTCACACCTTCAACATAAGGGGCCGATAATCCCATACGAATGTGAACCGTAAAGGTTGAAGGCACTCTTCGCGGAAAATACTGAGTTAAGCAGCTCAAATTCTAATGACAGAGGGGTAGTTAACATAGCGCTGAAGAAAAGGAGCCGAAAAAACCTG